ACAGAAACGCTTCAATCATGTCAGAAACCTGAGTAGTTCTATAAAAGTCCCCCTTCTTCTAAATGATATAGCTATAAAGAGCCGTGTAACTATTGTAGGTCCAAGCTCAGGCTCTACTCTTAACTGAAATGTCGTCTCGAACAAGCCCCTAACACTCTCTCAATGTCAGTGCCTTCACTGGGCATAATAATATTTACGTTGGTTTTTTTATTTGTTTTCTGGAAGTCAGATGGCACAATATGAAGGTACTTTGTATATTTCAAATGTTAACAAACACTGAGTTGTGGTTTTAATGATTCTTGTTCTCGTCTTCATAAAGTGGTCAACAGCCTCACCAATGAGCAATCCTCTCTGTGAGCTTTATTGTATCGGCAATAAGCTGAATGATGGGAGAAGGAGGACAAAGAAGGCTGTCAAATGAGACAAAGGGAACAGTGAGGGCACAGGAAGAAAGACTGGCATATGGTGTGGAAGGGGAGGGGCAAGGCACGAAGATACCGGTCAGTGGAAGAAACACACATGCACACACCATGATTCTCCACAAGTAGCCTTTGTGTAAAAAAAAGTGGATAGTAGGGTTAAAATATCTCTGATCTTTTTTGCCAAATCTTGCCCTATAAAACCATCAATTTCAAATTGACAGATGGAGCCATGACTGTTTAAACAAATGTAACCTCTGTCTCATTTTGTCAGTGAAAAGAAATATTTAAATTATATCTCTTAGATTTGTTCTTAGGGCTTTACACGTAATTATCTGTAAATAGGTGGGCCCCCTCATCCATCAAATGCAAGGTTTCAGGTGGTGCTCTGGCATGCTGGGCGTGTAAGCAGTTCTGGAAATGCCCTCCAGGTGGCATTATCAATAAATTTCCTAGCCTAGGACTATTGAGGTTCTGGTTAAAATGCAGATTCCTGAGACCCACTTCAAACTGACCAAATCAATGTCAGTTTGGGTAGCGCCTGGGCGTCTGCATGCTGTATGAGATTTTTAGGGGATTGCTACTCACACACCAGGGTGAAGAGCCCTGATCTGGTCAATATAGGCACCAGCTACAGGGCCCTGGGACCAGGTCAGCCTCAGCTGCAGCAGCTCTAGGCTTCCGGGGAAGCCCAAGGCTCGTGGGTGGTTGGTAAAGAGCCTTTTCCCTGGAGGAAAGGTAAAGGGTTCCCAGCCCCTCATCTTCCTCAGTCCCTTCAAATTAAAAGGTTGGCGACACTCATGGGCAGGTTCCTTTCTTGTTTCTTTGCCTTTTATTTATAATCTCGAACGTCACCCAAACGTCTCAGTGTCAGCTTGCTGTTTTCGTTTGGTTATGGTCGGTGAGTCACAGAAAACACAAGCCATTTTTATCTGCAACTAGGACTATTATCTGTGCATTTGGGTTAAAGGAATCTCTTTTCATGATTTAGGAGAAATGCTGAAGAGAAAGAAAACTTGATATTTAGCGTAAGGGCTAGTGTCATGCATCAACCTACATCAAAAGACCAGAGGCTTCCGGTCCTCCCCTGCTCCCTGTCTGAAGCCTTCACAAGCCTCAGACCATGCTCAGCCAAAGGAAATGTGCGGAAGTGTATTTTTCATAGGAATTAACTCTTGCAGATAAACAGGGAAATCAGGTTGTTTTAGATGCCTTACCTCATAAGTGGCTATGTTGTATTTGCTTGTCCACACTGGTGTTCTGTTTTGTTATAACTTTGCAAATTCAATGAATAGTTTGTAGGTGGGAGGGAAAGAAAAAGCCCTGGAATCTTTATTGCTTTATTTAAAAAAAAAATCCATGGAGTAAGAGAAAGAATGTGACTGCATTTTTATTCATGGTCAATAAGCCCAGATGAATATGTGGTAAAAGTTGTGCAGAGTGTCACAAAGCAAATCACCGTGTCACAAGAAATATTATTAAATTCTATAATTTCCTTTTCTGAAAGTAGTTCCTCTATATGGAGTGGGAGAAAGAAAATTACATTCAATATTCACCTTAACTGAAAAGCAGCTGAGTGTGGTGGCTGATATCCTATAAATAGCAGATCTGTGACCTCATTCCTGTTCTCTCTCTGCCTAGCTGTTTCCAGTTGCAAGTAGAATAGAAAATTGTCAATCATCTGGGCATACAGGCCAGCTTATTTGGATAAATCTGGCCCAGTCCTGTTTTTCTTTAGTGTTGCAGATACTGTACCTCCATTTCAGCAAAAGCCATCTATGCTCTGTGCCTGTTGCTTTATGCCTGCACTGCCCAGGTAATTGCAGTTATGTGGAATCGGCCTAAAGTGACCTTGGAAAACTGCTTAACCTTTTGGAGCCTCAGGTTATTCATCTGTAAAGCGAATATTGTAGCTGCCTCTCGCTCATTTCAATGGAATGCTTTGAGAATTGATTAGATAGTGTGCATAAAGCAAGTTGACCTCCTCAAAAAGGAATACAATGTATGATTTTATTTCTGATCTCAAAGCTAGCAGGCCAGGCCTCTCCAGTACAACGCAGTCATTATCTGTACTTTTGGACTGCCTGGAGAGGAAATTCACACCATTCAGGGCAAAACAATCCACTCCAGTTTCTAAATGGTGGGGATTGTCTATCTATGGAACACAAATTCAACAGATGGTTGCCAACCTTCCACTTGATTTTGTGGCCCTTTAAACTGTGTTCATTAAAACTTCACCTTGCTGACAACTTTGTAGAGACTTGGAGGGGATGTATGAATGACAGTTTGTGATATAAAGGATATATCCCATATGAGACATGAATGTCATATCTCTGATTCTCAGAAGCCGTTGCTAAATTAGCATGTAAAACAGCAAACAAATACTGCATAAGTAACTAAAAGTGCATAGGTTGTTTCTCATATGTTTGTGAATATCCTTCTGATGCCAACACTTTGGAACTTCACTAACAAGTATATTTTGAAGAATTTGAGGACAACTATGTTTCATGTTTAATTTCAAGTTCCTTTTTTTCAGAAGGCGGAACACAAACTTTAACCGAGGTTTTGGGGAAACATAGATGGAATCTGTTTCTGTTTTTGTTTTACAAACTTTACAGAGATATATAATGCCATGACACTTTTTATTTAAGGTTGGCAGAACTTGTTTATTTTCCTTTTCTTGTGTGGGCATGCATGCATACATGTATTTACTATTTAGCCTGTAGAGCTTTTATTTATTTAGCAAATGCCTTGTTTTACTGAACATTTCGGCTATTTTCTTGGACCATTTTGTTGCAAGAAATAAATGTGGTACTTTAAGTGATTTATTTCTTTTTCTATCAACTTGGGAGCCAAAATAAAATTGACATTCTCAGAAAACAAAGGTGCTGTAGAACTCGAAAACATTTACCCTGAAATAAAAATTTGTGTTTACTTAGAGCTCAGTTTCGGTTGAAAAACAAACATCAGAGACCCTCAGAAAAAGAAGAGAAGCCCCCTGCTGACACATTCTCTCACTGATTGATGATGTTGTCTTGGCAGAGCAGCTTCAGAAATGCAATCAGGGAACAAATGGGCCTGGTTTTATTCAATAAAATACCCTTTAAAAAAAAGAAAAGAAATCTTAAAATTCAAAGAATTGCATTTGAAACTGGTGAAACACAATTGTGCGAGTTTATTATTTGAAAAGTAAAGAAAATGGGATTGTGCGTTAGCCTTATCCGATGACATGAATCTGATTGGAAGGACCCTAGGCCACACCATAAAGTATAACATTATTCGAGGGATACACATAAATGAGAGTATGGCTCCTCAGTTTTCTACTGTGTCTGCCCCTTCTGAGTTAATCAAGCCTAACACTGGCCTGAGCTGAGAACTGTATACTACTGAAGGGGCCACTGAGATGGGTGTACAAGGCTAAGCAGAGCCAAGGTTTATGAAAGATTCACAGTGGGCCAGATGTAGTGTCTTATAGGTTTTAACTCAATTTATCCTCAGGCTGGCCTTTTATGTTATACTTTGCTATACTGATGAGGAAATGGTACAGAGAGGTTAAGTCACCAGTCAAAGATCACACAGCTAGGGAAGATCAAAGCTGGGATTTGAACCTCAATAGACTGATTCTGGGGTTCATCTCTTCACAGTTAGACTTACACCACCACCTCTCTTTATTAAAATAATAAATAAACGAACCCATAATATATTGTAAACTTTGAGTACAAAAATAATTTCCAAAATATCACATTATTGTCATATTTCTACTCCCCCATTTTAGGCATTAGTTATTTTTTGCTATCCATTTCTTTAATGGGTTATATCTATTACTGTACTATAGAATGCCTTTGAATCCATATGTAACAATTTAACTTAGCTCATAAGTTCCTTTTTTTGCTGCTGTAGAAGTTTATAAAATTATTTCCAATGTGAATCTGTCCTCTATTTAGTTTTCACTTTTTTTCTGTCCTAAAAAAAAAAAGTATGTCTTACATTTTACAAATTATAATTTTAACTTTTTATAGTCATATCTGTATTTTCCTCTCTAGTCTAATGTTTTGTGTTTTTTTGGAGGTCACAGGGATTGGTGTCTTTTTGATGTGGTTTAACCTTTTTCACCACTACCGCCCCACCCTGCCCCGATTTGGGGAATTATGTTTATGTTTTAGTTCTTCATTCATACATTAGCAGAATTGTTTGTGTTAATAAAAGGAAGTCACTTAAGAACTTCCTAACAATTTATAAAACACTAAAATTGGAGTTTTGATATTTTAAAGAACATGTGTTTGAAGATTCCATTTTTGGGAATTCTTCCTTTAGGTCCTGACAGAATTTTATATATGCAGAAGTGGGCTCTTGCTCTATTCTCTATTAGGGAATTTGGCTCTCCTTTCCTCTCAAAGATTTCCAATTCAATGCTAAAAATAATTTAAAGGCTGGCACACTGATGCTCTTGTGTAGCCTAGGTGGCAAAAACGAAAAGGCAGGAGGTCTGAAGCTTTTGTATTATTGCAACACTTCCCCTGTTTCTGCACTGTTTCAGTCAGCTTGGGCTTCTGTAACAAAATACCATAGACTGGGTGGCTTAAACAGCAAGAATTTATTTCTCACAGTTCTGGAGGCTGGCAAGTCCAGGATCAAAGTGCAGGGCTGATTTGGTTCCCCAGTGATGGCTTTCTTCCCGACTTGCAGATGGCTGCCTTCTCCCTGTGTCCTCACATGGCAGAAAGAGATAGAAAGGAAGCTATCTGATGCTCATAAAAGCAATAATCTTACATGAGAGTCTCCTTCTCGTGACCTCATCTTAACCTAATTACTTCACAAATATCATGACATTAGAAATTAGGACATCAATATGTGAATTCTGGGGGGACACAATTCAGTCTGTAGCACCGACTCACCTTCTTTTCTGATGCCAGGCTGTTGATATAGAATCTTCTCTTAAATTCTCTTCTACACTTAGAACTTGATGGGTTCCTGCAAGATGGTGCTGACTCTAGTAACAGTAATTTCAAAATAAAAGTGCAGCCAAAAAACCCAACAAACAAATAAAAATCCTGATTAAATGAGATAATAACGTTGAGTTGCCCAGGTCCCTTCATTTGAAATTCAGAAGCTCACCTACCAGGTAGAGGGACTTCCTAGATTGCTGGGGAGCGAGTTGAGTCAGTGTGCATCCTGAGCAGCTGTGCTTTAGATTACTTCTGTTTCCTGGAGCAAAGCTTTTTCTTTTAGACAAGTAACACAATATAACCGAGGATCAAATTTATTTTTGAAGTTTTGATAAAGATTCAGAAAGCAAGACCTTTTAAAAATGCCATACATACCATGAGCTAAGATGAATTGATAGTGAGTACTCCAAAGCATTTTATCCAGAGAGTGCAGAACATTTTGAAAACCACCATTAGGAAGAGATGCTATTACTGGAGTTTATTTGGCAACTAGAATAAAATAAGAAAATGTAGTAAATATCTCAGTGAGAACTTCTGGACACTTGATTCTTCTGTAGATGGCTTTTAGGTTTTCCAATTTTGTTTGCCCTTTTAGGTAAAATATCAATAGTTCATGAGGACATTATTGAAAAAAAATTGAGTGACTAATTTTCAGTTTCCTGCTTTCCATCCTAGAACCATATGAATTATTAAGACTTTCAGTTGTCTTGGTTACTTCTGCTTAGAGACAGTAAAGGTAGGTATTTCTTGGAAGTGTTTGGTAGAAGAAGGAAAAGAGGTAGTGGCTTGAAAGAAAACTGTGGTTAAGGGAAGGTTTGAATTAAAACTAGTTTTAATCAGAAGACCCAGTTCTCATTTCTTCATTTCTGTTTATTTACACAGTTCTTGTAATTAAATGAAGCTGATTGTCTACTACTTGGTAGGCATTGAGGTATCCCCTCGACATGCGAAGACAACTTTTATTTATTTATATTTATGTTTATAATTTCTATTGTTGCACAAATGATTTGAAGTAAGAGGAATATAAACTACCTTTAGGCTGTCCTTTGATCCCTTTAAGGGATCAAAGTCCATCAGAAGGTAGACTCAGCTATAGAAAAATGACAATACAATGTGAGTAAGTGCTGTCACAAAGAAATGAGCAAATTGCTTTAGGAACATAGTGGGTATAGTAACTGTTAACAATCTCTTAACTTTGAGTTGCTTCTTTCATTGATTCCTTAAAATTTATGTGATTCTATTACATGTCCGAAGGGGAGTTTTAAGTTCCTGGACTAAGCAAAAAATTTGGAGTAACACAGTATATAATCTGCCTAGGGCAGAAGCCCTGCTGCATTTTCTGAATTCAGATGCAATTTTTAGCCTCTCTGAATCCCTACAGGGCAAAAGCACACATGATATAGAATCAGTCTCTAAAGATTTTGAGCTTATGTATGAGAATTGACTATACCCAGAATTCCTGGGATAAGCAATGACTCTTCTCCTGAGATCCTGCTATTAACAGGGGAAGTATATTGATCTTTGAAACATTTCAGTAACAACAGTGATATTTGTGTTTGTCTCCTTTAGAAAAACAAAGAAAAACTGGGGGAGAGGAGATAAGGATCCAAGGAGTGCAAACACTCTTTTGTATTCTGCCTGTACAGAACTTTCTTTTCCTTCTTCTGTATTAATTATATGCAGTTATCTATAGTTGAGACCAGAATGTGATGCTAAGTAGAGACACAGGTAATTATCTGATTTCCTTTCTTACTTTGGCAAATGAATACATGTTTGGTTGAAGCCGATTGTGAGCCACTTAACATGAACAGGTGAAGTCAAATTTTGTAATGTCGGGCAATAATATTTTCTGTTGTACTAGTAGCTTTAAAAGTTATAATTATGTACATTTCATATTACAGCTTCTCCTACACCTTCTGTTAAACGCAAATTCATTCTGAGTCTCACCAAATTTGGTCTTTTGTTTTATTCCTGCAAAAGAGTAAATGATGAAAAGTTTTAAAATAGGAAACCCAGAGATGTTTCATATTCTGTTTTCCAGGGTGTGTTTGTTGTGGAGGGATTCACTGGCAAATCAACTTATTTATTATGGTAATACAGAGGTCAATATATTTCTGACTGCCTCTTCTCGCTCCCAATACAAAGTGTTAATCACAAGTATTTTCTGGATAGAGTGATGACAGATGTTACCAAAATATCCCTAAAAATTGATATAAATTCGTTCTTCTTGGCACGTGCGTGCACACACACAACACACAAACACATACACACACAGATGTAAAAGATGGCAGAAATGCTTCCCTTGTTTGGGAGGGAGCTCAAGGTAGCTTGAAATTTAGTAATTATCCAAGCACTTGCTAAGAAGTAGGCAGCATTTTTCAAATTCCAGAAGGAATCACTGCAAGAGGGGGACTAGAGAACTAGCTAGGAGAGTGAGAATTGTATCTTGGGGGAGGGGAAGAGAAGGAACAGCTTTTTATACCTTTCTTTTATAGGAAAAAAGAGCAGCCAGCAGAAACTAGATGAGGATCAACATGGGGTGAGGGTGGAGGGGCTAGCAACTGCTGAGACAGTCAATAGGCAGATTGTTCATCACACATTGCCAGAAGATTAGCTGAGCAAATGCACAGACAATGCTGATTAGTGACTTGAAATGCATCAGTTCTTACTGGGGAGAACAAAGACGGTCAGATCACTGCCCTACAGCCTAACGGCAATAATGGAACCCAGCTATGCTCAACATAATGTTTAGAGCTGAGAAATGTGGACAATATGTCTATTTGTTTGTATTCACCAAATTTCTCTTATCTCTGGAATGGCCTCAAGAGATATATATCTTATTTCTATCAGGTTCTCAAGAGACAGCAGCCTTATAATCACACCCCTGCATATTCCAGCCCCTTGTGAGTTGTGCTGAGAAGGCAGATATCATTGAATTGTCACCACTCGGCCTCTTTTTTTACACTGACCTTGCAAATGCAGGTGATCATATTTGAAAAAAAATTTAATGCCTCTCACACTATATTATTTACTTATATAAAGAACTGCTACCAACAGTTATAACTGTATTTGAATATTTTCGAGTTATGAAGTAAACTGGAAAAGTTTTTTTTAAGTCTTTTCTCTGAATATTTTTCAGACCAATCCTGTGTATTATTTGTTTTATCCTGACCTCCTTTCTTATTATGAATTCAGAGACCTTTAGTGCTTTTATTTCAACACCCCCTTTTGGAGCTTTGGTTTGGGCACCTAGGAGATAGAATATGACCTTGGGTTGGCATTAATGCTGAAATTTTCATTAGAAATTCTTTATGTGATATTACTGTACCCATCAAACACAGCCTTTCCATTTAGTTGATATTATAATTAAACCGAATAATCGCACCCCCTTTACATTTTCTTTACATATGTAAAAATAATCTTAGTGTTATTTATAGATTTGTGTTAGTCTTTATTAGAAGCCTTTTTTCTTTGCTAGATAAAAGAGCTTTACTTTAGTCATAATGCTCTTAACAGGATTCATCTAGAAGAAAAGCACCATAAGGCTGATGTGTCTTTCTCAATCCTCACTGACATTTTATACCTTATTGGCTTGCAGTTTCTCTTTCTCTTTTGTTCTATCTTTTTTATTTTTTTAAATGCCTAACCCCTTCTTACTTCTTCCTTGCTTTATTATTTTACTTATGAACACCTGATTAATTCAGGAGACTCTTCTCTAAATTAGAAAACTTTCAAAAACCAGATCATTTTCTGGGAATACAATTTTTCTTTTTTTCCCCCATTCTTTTCTCTTTTTTGCAGTTAATCATCCCATTGTTAACATATAAACAGTTTGGAAAGAATTATTCCCACCATATTTAAGAGAGGGCAGATTGTTAACCATAATATATAAAGAACTCCCACAAATGAATATTTTAGAAAAACATACAAAAATCCAATGACAAAAGCAGGCAAAGGCTAGAAATAAATATTCAGAGAGGAAGTGCAATATGTAACAAACATGTAAAAAAATGGCCATTCTCGCTGATAAACTATATTAAATGCAGATTGAAAATAAAATCCTCATCATACTGACAAAAATTGTAAAAGATGGATAATATCCAGTGTTGGCAAAAATATGGAGAACAAAGTAATGGTATAATTTGTTAGCGCTAGCTGGGCGTGGTGGCTCATGCCTGTAATCCCAGAATTTTGGGAAGATGAGGCGGGTGGATCACCTGAGGTCAGGAGTTCGAGACTGTTCTGGCCAACATGGTGAAACCCTGTCTCTACTACTGGGGAGTCTGACGCAAGAGAATCGCTTGAACCTGGGAAGAGGAGGTTGTAGTGAGCTGAGATTACACCATTGCACTGCAGCCTGGGTGACAGAGCGAGACTCCATCTCAAAAAAAAATAACAACAAAAAAATTTGTTAGTACTTTCTTTTTAATCATCTTGACAATATCTATCAAAATGTAAAATTGTATGCTTTTTCATGTGTTCATGGCTTTTCTAAAAAATTAGTTTGTGGAAAACTTAAATATGAGCATCAATACATTTTCAATATCTTTTTTTCCTCTTTCAAGATTACTTAGAAAGAAAAATTAATCAATGAAACTGATGTTACATTTACAACATGGAATACTATCTAGCAGCTAATGAGAATGATGTCCTAAGGTAGAAATGTCTATATAACGTATTGAATCTCAGAATGAAAAATATACATAGAATGATCTCATAGATGTAAAAGAAAAGAAAAAAACACTCTATGCCTTTGTGTAAAAGTATAACAAATATCTGGGACAGTAACTAAAATGCCACACAGTTAACTCTGAGGAGAGACTGGATTGCAGCATAATAAAATGAAGGAATTACTACCTTGTTCTAGATTTTTACAATTATGTTTTATTTTGGTAGCACAAACCAATGAAAAGAATGTCCTTTCAGGTGCACGGCTTAATTCAAATTAAGCGAAAGGGAATGTTTGCAAATAGTGGTCTGCAGGAAATAAGCTTTAATGAATGAATGAGAGCATTATGTTACTTGTGACTAGATCGTCAAAGGTAGATCTGCTATAATGCTTGTCAATAAGATTGATAAATTAGTAATTAAGCATAACACATGTTGTGTTATGTATGATTTCATCCATGTGTGGTTCCTCATGTATTACTTCATCCATGAGAGACACTAGGCAAGTGCAAACAACTGCACCTAATTCAGTTGAGCCACAAGAAAAATGCAAAATGTCCACACACATCGCGAGCATCTACCATCTATCTGAATTTACCACATGGATTATGAGTTGCATCATTCACATCTGTTGTTGTGACTTTCATCTGATTTTAGACAACCCTCCATTACTACTGCACAGTAACTGAAAAGTAAAGCAAATGTCAAGTTTTTTTCAAATAAAGGGCTATATTTATTGTGGTATTTATATGTTAGTTAACTGTTTAATACATATGAAATCATGCTACTGTTTTTATTAA